TCCAGATGAACATGACCTCGAGCTGGCCGTCGCGAATAGTGAATAATTAGTGTCGAGCAAGAGCGCGTAGTCGAAGCCGTTGTTGCTCTGGATCGCCCGAATCGCAGCCTGGCAGTCCACGACGAGGAAGAGCCGACGCCATTGCACCAAAGAGCCGGGAGAAGAAGCCTGGACCACAGCGATCACGGCCTCGAGCGCAAAGCGATGGCCTGCACCTCCATCCTGTAAGGGGTTTGGTCCTCCAGTCCATCGCCACAGGCAGCAACCGTGTCAGGATGCTGGATGGCGACACCCGAGGAGCCCACGCCGTCCTTGATCGAGCCGTCCGTGGCCAAGTAGAGGTCGCGGTCCGCAGCGTAAGTGCCGAGGAGGTCGACGAGGTGCTCGAGTGAAGTCATCGATGTCTACCGCCTGCGGGGCTGCCGGATAGCAGCCCACAGCCCACCTCCATGGCAAAGAGGCGCTCCTGCGCAGTGTTCTCCGGGAGCTGAACGTCAGCCCGCAGACCACGAAAATGAGGGCAAGCCCAAACCAGGTGAGGTCGGCTTGGGCGAGCAGAACCGCATGCACAGATGTGCCGTTGACGCCCAGCGTCGAAGCGGCCCCCAGCGTTGAAGTGCCAGTTGGAGGTACCCGCACCGATGGAGGCCAAAATCAGATTTCGGTCGTTACCTGCATTGTGCGGTGTCATCACGGCGTGCGGGGGCCCACACTCGCGCAGTCCTCCCAACGTGGAGCTGACGATAGTGGTGCTGAAGCCATTGCAGCAGGACCTGAAAGGATTCGTGACCCACCCACAAGTGCCTGGTGTGGCCTTCAGCATCGCAGCACTGAAGAACACGAGCATCGGCCGAGAGCCACCACTTCAGTCGCTGCAGGGTCGGGGCCAACATGGGGAGCACCTTGAGCACACAGCCCTGGAGTTCTGAAAGGGGCAGAGCCTCAGTCCAATCCATCGGTCGCACCACGGATCGCCAGTAGGCACGCAGCGTGGCCACATCCAAGTTGTATTGGGAATCAAGGAACCGACCAACGACCTCACACAACAAGACTCTGGCAGCCCCTGCGGTCGCAAAGCGGATCATCATGTAGTTGATTTCATGCTGAATGGCAGCCATGTCTGGGGCTTCCGGGGCAACGTAGGCAGCGGCCCAGGTGAAGCACGGCAAGATCAAGGAGCGCGGTAGGAGCCCTACGAGCATGTGCTAGGGAGCCCTAGGGATCGCAAAAGCCTAAGCCTGACCTGCCAAGGGCCCTGCAGAGGTGCAACAATGCCAAGAGTTTCCAAGTCTTGCTCATGCTTATAGCTTAGGGCTGCTGCAAGCTCAGCTGCCTCAGTGTTCGAGGCCTCAGCAATGATGGCGCATTTGGGCAAGGAGACCTCCAGCTGCATTGCTTGGTCAAAGCGGTTGGACCGCTCCACGGCGTAACGCAGCTCCACAAACGACCCGTGCGCCCTAAGCAGAAGAACCCTATCATCTACATAACCATATCCGGTGATCGGCTGAGCGCTGGTGTCCTCCGGGCCTAAGACAAAACATGACCAGGCATGAGTCACAGCAGCAGCGATCAGTGGGCTTAGAGGGCAGCCCTGTGGGAGCCCACGGGTGGGCTGATGCCACCCCTCACTGAGGGCACCTTCCAAAGCAAAGACCCGCTGGGATTGCGAGCACACGTTCAAGAACAGCTTGATGAACTCCGGCGGCGCCCTAAGGTGCGTGAGGATCTCAGCTGTCAGGTCATGTTCCAGACCGTCAAAGCTTGCCACGTCTTGCTGAGCAGCAGCCTTGTAACCTCGGGTGGCCTCGTTTTATTGGTCGGACATGCCTGCGACGCCGCAACTTGCCCGCTTCGGTTGGATGAAAGATGGCAGCCAGAAGTTGTCCCGCTGTGCCTGGGTTCCCGCATCTAAAAACCACAACGCAGGCTAACAAAGGTTTTCACTTCAGTTGCACACAAATCTGAGCTTTTTGGGATGTCAACACCACGGAAATGGCCGGCCCTGGCTCAACACCCGAATTCTTCAGGATGTCTTCGAAGCTCTTCTCACACGCTTCTTTGAGGGACCAGAAGAAGCTGGACGCGGATACATACCCGTTCTTTTTCATTTGCTCCTTGACGCTATCCTGGATCTTCAGCTTGACGAGCAGCTCGCTCCACACGGACTCGTCGTCGCACGCCATAGCAGGAACCGCAAAGAACTCGCAACTCAAGGATACTTCGTCCCACCGGTGAGTCAGCAGGAACACTGCACAGCCACTCCAGCAAGACCCACAGTCACACACAGATTGAGCCAGCAGGAACCTTGCACTTGCCTCTCCAGCGAAGACTCACAGACACACCCCACGTGAGTCGGCAGGTACCCTGCTCTTGCCACTCCAGCAAGTTCAACAATCACACGCCCCGACACAGCAGGCACCCTGCTGGCACATATTCCCACAAAGCGCCACGTCACACTGTTGGTCGCACACGAGGCTCATACAGCGCACCCCGAAACAAGACAACAGCACACCTCCGAACCAGCGCACAGAAGCAAAAATCCCAGCCAACACGGACCCAGCCTCCGTAAACTCTGAACAAACAGAGCTCCAGGCATAAACACTCACTATACAGTCACTGCGGCGGTGCATGCACAAACACATGGGAACACAATGCGGAGGCAGCCGCACGAAAACCCAGCCCGAGATCTTGGTCTAACAAGCTATCAGGCTGTGACTCACAGTTAAATCCAAACCGAGGGCTCCAACACAGGCCGCATGCTGGCACGGATAGAATGCATCTGCTGCCAAGGCTGGATCCTCGTACCAAACTTCCCAGCGCGGGAATTGGGGCAGCACGACCCGGAGCGCATGCTCTGCTCAAACCTCCTTCCTCATCAACACTGGCCGCAGCATGGAAACAGCCACTTAGAGTGCTCAATATCCAAACACCCGGCACAAGCGGATCGCCGATCTTGCTGTCCGCACCCGTTCAGTACTCGGAGTCCGAGTCAGAGGAGCTGGAAGATGAAGATGAAGAGGAGCAACAACATTCCCCGTCTGAGCACGATTCAGGCTCCGTGTCACTGGAAGCAGGCCAGGGGGCGCCACCATGTGATTGCATGGCTTCACTTCCAGCTCGGACTCGGCAACGGGGGACTTGCCACCTCGGGCCTGTGGGGTCAAATGCACCCAGCCTCCCCAAATAGCCTTCAGCACCTTCCACTGCGCCCTGAGCGCTGGCAGAACATCGTCTCTACCGTATTTGCGCACCATTGCCTCCCCGTGTTCGCGACTGCGGCGATGCCCCCAGAGCCTACTCATCGTGGGTTCCAGTTCAACCTGTAAGGCCCAAGATAATGGTGTAGCCTTGAGTGAATGCAGGGAGTAATTGTGCACCACATCGGCAGGTATACCGCCGTAGCTGACCAGTATTCTGCGAAATTGGGCCATCACGTATGTGAAAGACGCCCGGGAGCCGGAAGGCCCCGCGATCATAAAGTCGTGAGCTTGCATGTACTTGCACACCCAAGCAAGCGCAGGTGCCCAGGACCCATAAATGCCCGCACACAAGCACGCCCACGGCATGCATGTAGTGGAAGCTTTAGTTTTCCAGCAATGGCCTCTCGCAGTGAGCTCTATAGACTCCACTTCGATGCGCTGCAGGTCCGAGAACCGCAAGGCCCCTCAGAACATCACTAGGAAACATACAATGAGGAAGGTGTCCATGGACTTCACAAAGCTGCCACTTGCCATGACCACCCTCTCCAAGTTTGCAATGGCAAATAATGGCAGCGGCATCGCCTTTGCGGGCTCTTGCTGGGCCTACAGGCTGCGCGGAAACTACACGGCAATCAAGGTCGCGGAGAAACTCTTGCCAACCCATGAGAGCTGCGGTGAATTTGAGCGAGCACAGGCAAGAATACAGTCAGACTTAGAAACATGCTCACGTGCTGACTGCTCAATGGGCATGGAAAGTGCTCTGTGGCCTAAACCCTGCGTGGGCCGAGGCGTTTGAGGATAGCAGTGCATGCGAAGACCATGAAAGCATGCGCCTGCCGGTGTTTGCAGCTAGCCCCAAAAGCTGCGCTGTTGCGCGCGAACGTGCGTTCGGTGGGAACATCCAAGCACTGCTGGCAACAACACAACTGTACAGCACTGCATGTACATGTGAGGGACGGGTGTATTGCCAAACCTAGCCGAACCGCTACACCCGACACTACACCCGACACCACTACTACTACTACTACTACTACTACTACTGCTGCTACTACTACTACTACTACTACTACTACTACTACTCCTGCTACTGCTACTGCTACTGCCACTGCGACTACAACTACTACTACTACTACTACTACTACTACTACTACTACTCCTGCTGCTGCTGCTGTTGCTGCTGCTGCTGCTGCTGCTGCTGCTGCTGCTGCCGCTGCTGCTACGACTACTACGACTACGACTCGACTACGACTACGACTACGACTACGACTACGACTACGACTACGAC